CTCGCTCCCGCCGCCCTCCGTGAGACAGCAGCCGCCGGCCTCCTCATGAGGGAGGGAGTTCTGGTGGGTCTGCTGTATAGGGAGATGGAGGAGTGCTGCGAGGGTGTGAGAAACGCTCGCTCACGGATAAAACTGGAGAGAGGACAAAGTCTTCGAAGCAAAGATAAAAGTTTATTCCGGATCAAAATAAACGAGTCAGCTGAGTCGGATGCCTCTCAAAGAGAGCACACTTAGCTACCAAACTTCAGGTATTTATGTCCTGTCCCCATTTCCCTTTGGTTAGGTACTTTAGGGCGCACATTCTTTCACGACCCGTTAGCCTATCACAAACTCGATTCACACTTTTCTCCTTTTAAGGAGTTGTTTTTCTAAGTTACGCAACTCTGCTTGTGCCTTCGACACACAAAATGGCTGAAGCAAAACAATTCTATCTCCTACACAGGGGTAACTTCTGCTGCGGTTGGAAATAACTAAATACACGTGAATTAAAGGTGATTTTCCTTACAGCCAGAAATGTCTGGGTAGGTATCTTGAAATCTTAAAGTTGATGGCTGGCATGGGTCACTGAGTTAGTTGGCTCCAAGGGGAAGAAATAGTGTTATAAATTATATGTTACGCACCGCCAAAGCTCATATCAGCTAATGAATGTACACCAAAGATTACACTTACCAGAGGCTGTAGTGTCTCGAGATTCTCAGCTTTGTTTATAAATCATATTTTAAAATCCACATCTGAATTCCAAAGCAACTTCCCCCCCCCCTTTTTTTTTTTTTACTTTTGGTTTGTTTTATTTCCAGTCCAACCAACCTTGTCCTATCACTTCAAACCATTTGGTATTTGGTTTATGTGCCCCCTTCTGTCCTTTGAAGCTGTGAACTGGAGGCTTTTGGTTTATATTCAGGTTTTTATTCTGTTGGCATGTTTAGTTCACACCATAATGATAGTCTATGTGGAATATTTAGGTCTGATAGTTTCCTGTTAAATTATGCCCTAACTGATGTGATTCAAACACTGTTGCAAAGTGGCTTTATGGCAGAGATATTGTTGCATTTTTGAAGTCTTCTGTTGTAACTGAATCAGGGTCTTCAAAGGAAACATGCTTGAATTTGTAATAGGTTTTTGTCTGGCAGTGTATTTGTTATCATAAATTTTGTGTTTTCAGTTTCTAGAAAGGCTATTCACTAAATAATGGACTTCAAAAGAGAAATCCAGAGAAGAAGCCAAGAATTGAAATATCATGTGAAGAACTCAAATTGCAGAGAGCAAAAATGCCATGAAAATGGAGGTGAAAATGGTTTGCACAAATTCCAATCCGAAAATACGTTGAGAATGCAGTTTATTTCATTAACAGTTGGCTCAGCTTACTGATGGGAATTAGGTATCCAAGATGTTCTAGACCAAAAAAACATCACAATACTGCACTCTTGTAGTACAAGATGCTGCCTGCAGTAGACAGTAACTGATCTTCCTCAGTTCTGGTATCAACTGAAGCTAATAGTACAGAGGCTGGATCAGAAATAGGCAGCTGAGTATGTACTACAAATTGGAATGAATTTGTAATAGACTTTTGGGAAGTAAGACTCCAGCAGATACACTAAAACTGCTGTGGAAATCTCTGAAATTCATAACTCGGAGCTGGAAATAATACTATATGATCTAGTCAATAGTTGGAAGAAACTGTGGAAATCATGCAGCTGTGCCCCAGACTTTGCTGAAGAGAGGTGTTTCTATATCTAGTGGAAGTCAGCCCTTAAACCCGTTGAGCTCTCCAAGGAAGTGGGTAGATGCTTATATGCTAGAACTGATCAGCCAGAGAGCATATGCCTAAAACTTTGAGTGATCTTCCTGGGAAGAAGAATGTGAGAAAAGCTGTGAATCTTGGCTGCACTCAGAAGCAAGAAGAGGCCAGAGGAAGAAGCTGAAAAGCTTGGAGACCTCACCTGGAAAAAAGCAGCAACCAAGTAGCTTTTTAACATGCATATGAGGAGACTTTTGTCAGGCACTAGCAATGGGCCTAAGCAAAGAATGGGCTGGGAAATCACCTTGGGCCATCTTGGTGGAGTGCCAGAAACAGTCCAGAGAGAAGGGCCTGAATACATTTGCCCATAAGAACAGCATTTGTTCAGCATAAGTTTCCTGAAGCAGGTATGTGAATGAATGGCAGCTTCATTTGGGGCTGACCTGAGTAGTCTGAGCTGGAGCATGCATTGTTGAACTGATTACAGAAGAAGTGACTGAGATGCAAGTGTTACTTCAACTGTGAGATCTCAGAAGTCAATCTCTTTTCATAAGCAAGCTTAAGTATTGTGGAGATCATGAGAGAAAATAGCAGAACTGTGGCAAAAATATTTTTTTAAAACAAGAATGGGCAAGCCTTTGGCTAAAATACTGAATTGTTGTGCCAAATATAAGCAGAATATGCATGGACTTCAGTTGGGACAAGTACAGTTCTGTGGCTCCAACAGTATTCTTTTTGTGAGGTCCTGGGATGTGATATTGAAAGTTTGACTGCTGAAGTGATCCTATTTTTGAAAGGTCTTCCAGTTCATCTGTCTATTTTCCATAGCAGCTTTCTGAATCTGGTGGCACTGATGGTGTTTTTTATACTTGGTCAAGAAACATCAGCAAAAGAAGCAAAGAAAACCATGACTCTTACGGAAGCAATTGATATTCCTGGAACAAATTCACCAGTGACAAATGAATCTTGGCTGGAACAGCTGCCTGGTAAAACACAACCCCACTGCTACAGGCAACAGAACAGTTCTGTTCCAGGAAGTTTTGACTTCATTTATTGCCAATTAACAAACTTGTAATTACTGATTCTAGCATTGAAAAATAAAGAAGACAAAAGATCACTTAGGGAAACCACACCAAGTTCCCTCTGGACACTTGTCCTCCCGGCTTCCTGGCCTCAGTCCCTTGGGTGAGGTGATGGGCAGTATGAGATTGGGCACAGTGTGTTGTGATTGCTCTTCCATATTTCTGTCTTCACTCCTCTGGCATGGGCTCCTCCACCCTTTGCAGACCCCTTGAAGGTGTACCTGCCCTGTACCTTCTTTTGTGCATGTGTCCCTGCGTGGGTGTCTATCTTCTCTAGTCCTGCTCAGGCAACTTCTCTTGTGCCTCCTTTTTCTCCAGCATCCTTCTGCCTTCATGTCGCTTCTGCCCTGGCACCTCTTCTCTCTGCTGTGGTGTCTCTTTTCCCTTGTCTTTCTGGTTTCTCACTTACAGAGGATGAGTGTTCTTTCTATTATTTTTTTTCTTTTACATTCAAGGCTGGAGTTGGAGTATATATATACCCTACATGATAAAACATGCTGAGGAGCATATGTTGAAGGAGAATGGAGTATAAGGCAGAATTTAAAGCACAAGTATTTTAGAATGCAGCATAATATGAATTCACTGAAATTTGTCATGTCAATGTTTTTTCTATGCTTTGCATAAAACGGAACATGTCACTTGAGCTCAAAGCATATTTATTACACAGAATTGGAACACCTCCAGGTACACAAATCTCTGTATGACTAGTTTATTTTTGTATTGTATCATTACAAATTCTGAAGCTAAACAAAGGCAATGAAATAGATGTTAATTGATTTCATAGGGCACTTCTGATAATTATTAACTGTGGTTTAAAGTCTTCCTCTTTATTGCTGTCCTTCACAGCCACTTAAGCAATCATTGCCCTCTGAGAACTGGAGTTTTTTTGGTGTTATGTGCTGAAAACTTTTGTTCCTAGGATAAGATAAAAAAAGGCAAAACCAAAAGGGATGCAGATGGTCTCCTTCCTCCAACCAAGTTTCATGTTTTTGTTACCTCATATACTTCACTACTGGAAAGTGTCCTGAAGTGTGTGATGTTTGCTGGTGGCCTGATAGGAGGTGTTGTTTGCTTGTGATGGTCAGTGGTAAAGTCTTCAGTTGTAGCTAAAGTTGTACATACATCTCAGTACTACTCTTGTTACTGTTTAACATGCTTAGGTTATGGAGCAACATTTTCAGAAATGACTACTGATTTAGACAAGCTGAGCTCAACGTAATGTATAGAGCAGTGTAGAGCTGCTCAGCAGGACAATGTTTTTTAAGACCAGATGCACCTGTTATTGTTCCTAGGTAGCTTTGCAACACTGTGCTGTACTCAGATGCTCCAGTGTGCTGTTGCACTGTGTTCTGAAATAAGCCAAATGCAAACAGTGCTTCCAAAGCGTCAGTGCTTCTTAGCTTAGTTTAGGTACTTGAGCACAGCTGTTTCCTGCTAGTATGTCTTGATCAAGGCAAACAATAGGGAAAAGATGTCTGTAAAATGAGTTGCAAGAGCCTGACCATTGACAAGTTTAAGATTTATTGAGCTAGGACATAGCTTTTAGTCTCAGAATTCAGTAACTTACAATGAACACACTGTCTTCATCACTGTTTCTACAGAGCATGCTGTTGGTAGCTCTACAGCTCCTCAGTTAGCCACTGACACAAATAGTATTTGGGAAGAAGAGCACAGTTTACTACCTAGAGCTGTTATGAACATCTGCTCTCACATAAACAAAGATACATTTCTGGACAGGTCACTGCTGCAGTTGAGTACAATGTATGGATACTATGCCTAGGAGAAAGTGTCATTTGCTGTTACAAGTTCATCTTGAAGTGCTTTTTAGTTAGTCCTTAGTAGAAAGATTAAGAATGGAGGCTGGGGGAAGTGTGCAAAAGCACTGAACTCTGGCTTAGCTGTGTTAACATTTCACATAGTGATAACACTTCTGCAGAGTTTAGCAGGGCCAAGGTTAAGCAAACACAAAAGTCTTATGAAGGAGTTTCTGTAGCAGTCCATTGTAAAATTCACACACACCAATCTTAATTTATTGAACTTCTGAGGAACAAACATGCAGAAGCAATTACATCAGCGGTTTGCATAGATACATTAACCTTTCCACTTTACCTTCTGCCTGTGCTTTTTCTGCAGTTGCTTTGGGTCTTTCTCATTTGCAGGCTTGCTAAAGATATCAAGACATGTCAATTCATACCTCAAAAAAAGAAAATCGATTTCTTTTTACCTCAGAATCTGTTGCTGAAGGACATTCTGGTAAGTAAAAATGCTGGTTGAATCTTTGCTTTGATTAATACTTGCACTGAAGAATGCTATCTGATGAAAGTTCAGTCATACCAGCCCCAATGGAGAAAAGAAAGAACCAATTAGTTATTTTGAATAGACTTCAGATGAGTATCTTTGTTTGCTTGACAAGAATTTGTCTTATTTGCTCAGTATGCGATATAATCTAGCATAGAAAACTTTCAACTTTTGCTCAAGAGAAAAAAGCATGGTGAGATCTTCTACAGGTAGACTTGGAGCTGCCACGTATACTGGAATCAGAATTTCATTTTTAATTCTGTAAAGAAAAAAATATTACTTCATGCACATAATTATTATAGGTGAACATTGAACGCTGAATCTCTGAAACGTGTGGAATAATAAGCATTGATTTTCATCAGAGCTACATTCCAGATACTGCTGTAATACTATATATGCCTCTTTGCCACGTTGCTCTCCCTAACGCAAGTTTACATATGCTGTAGGCTGTACAAAGTATTTTCCGGTTCTGGGACTGCAAGACAATGCTTCAGTTCTAATTGCTGTTCATTAAATTCAGCTATTTTTCACACAGCTTTGTTTACACAAATATGTATCTAGAAGCTATGTTAACTGATGACAGGAGGAAGTTTGGACCTCCAGCAGACATACTAATGATTCAAATATACAGTAAAGGTAGCAACAGTTCCTTTTAGGGCGGGATCTTCAAATGGAGCATTTTAATGTTAAGACTAAAAGTAACATTACCTCTGAAGGAAAGACAAAAAACCTGATAGGGAGAAAATGAAGGTGGTGTCAAACGCTGAAGGTTTGCTGCTGACTTTTTCTTGTGTATCTGTATTCTCAGGATTCTTATTTATCAGGTGGGAATGGCACAATATGAGACTAGTTATATTAGTCTGTCTGCCCAGCCCCTAGTGAGCAGTCCAACAGCTCCAAGACCACTGTAGTATGTAGCACTGTATCTTGAACCGCCATAGCCACTTGTTTGCTTTAAAACGCTGCACTGTATGTTGTAATGGTGCAAAGAGCTGAAGGCAATAAAACTGAACAGCTGTTCCAGGTTATGCCATTCCACAGACCCTCTGGTGTGAATCAATTTCGCAATCATCAGGATGCAGTTTGCCTCAGGGTTGTTGACAAACTAGCTGGATGACAAACTTTGGAGTTTGGCATTACTGATTTTGTACTTGACTGCATAAATGATTTCTGGGTCTGCAATTATGACCACATGATGTTTCTGTCAGTGAAGGTGCCATATAGCTTAAGTAACTGACCAGCATTCTGATTCTTTGAGTAAATATATTAGCAAGAAATTTCGGTAAGATAATGCTTGAGCTGGGGATCAATGCAGCACAAATAGCTGAAGACAGGCTTTACAGCAATCAAGATGGCTTCTTTTTTGTTGTTTTGTGTTTTTTCAAGACTCTAAATTGTTGGACTGACTTTGCAAATGTTTATGAAATGCACAGTTAAATGTTTAGCTTCAGCTTCATTGGGGAAAACACTAGAAACAAAACATAAAGGTAAGGAAACTTCTGATTCAAATTGTGAAAATTATACCAGTGGAGACCTGTGCACCTCCATAAGCAAATCCTATGCCGACAATGAGATCACTGTGTGAATAAAAGGGGGACATACATTTTTAGCACTCGTGCTTTGCTTTTAGCTTGCTTTTAGTTTGTACTTGAGTGAGGTAGTATTGATGACACAATGGCACATCCATTGAAAGCTACAGGGTAGCATGTTTCACTTTTCCTTGCTTTTAGATTGTACTGGAATATGTTACTCTACAGTCCTCATATAAAAATTCAATTTGCACTTAATCTTTGCATGGAATTACAGATCTTTCAGGGTACAGATTAACTCTACTTTTACCTTGTAATTCCATTCTGATGTTTGTTTGATCCAGGCCAGATTACCTTTAAAAGTAAATAAGTAGTTTAAGGTGGACATTCAGTTATGCTTCTTCATTAACTTCCTGTTTGGGCCCTTGAGTTTATGCACATATGTAACGGTACTCACTCCTGCAAGAGAAGTTATTTTAGATGGGAAATTACATAGAAAATTATATAGGGTGTTGCAAATAACATAGGCACCTGGCTTATTGATACAGACAGTGTTGTAGATCAAACTGTGTAGTTGTGTGGCTGAATGTATTTTGGATACCTTTTTTTGTAATGATGTGGGTGAAGATTGATTCATCTTCCTCATGTTGGTTTTGCAGATATACAACTTTCAAAGCTCTACTTTTGAAGAAATAATATGGATTGCTTTGACCTGGTTCAGTTACCCTGATGAGACAAAGAATCTCAATTTGTTCCTGTCCTGGTTTCAGCTGAGATAGAGATAGAGTTAATTTTCTTTCTAATGGTTGCTGTGTTTTCAGATTTGTTATTAAAGGAATGTCAATAATGCATATCGTCTTAGTTGTTGCTAAGTGATGTTTATACTAGTCAAGGACTTTTTTTCAGCTTCTCGGAGAAGCTGAGAAGGAGCACAGGCAGACCAATAGAATGTCCAATGGAATATTCTGTACATCATTCTCAGTATATAAATGGGTGTTGGGGGGTGAGTGGGGTGGGTGGTAATCTCGGATCTCTGCTCAGGTCGGGCTGGGCAACCAATTCACCAAGCAGTGAGAGTGACTTGTGTCGTATATATTCTTTTACTGCTACTTCTACTACTACTGCTGCTGCTGCTGCTGCTGCTACTACTACTATTATTATTATTATTGTTCTTTTTCATTTTTGTTCTATTAAAACATCTTTTTCTTAACCCATGAGGCTTTTTTTCCCTTTCCTGACCTTTTCTCCCACTTCTCCCTACCCTTCTGGGTGGGAAGGAAGGGTGAGCAAGGGGCTGTCTCGTCCTAGTTGCTGGCTGGGGTTAAACCACAACAGTCCCCTAAATTTTTCATTAACTTTTAACAAACCAAATGTGTTTGGCATACTCAGGTCTTGCCTGGACAATAAGTTATAGGTGCTAAAGACAGAATAGGTAAAGCCTTTTTTCTCCAGTGCTTTTGTCCTTAAAAAGAGACCAAAATTCAGAAATATAACTGGGGAACTTGAGTGGCCAATGCTTGTCCCTGAGAGAATGTTTGCAGATGCTTTTCTAAACTTAAATGAGCCAGATAGTAGTGTGTAATTGCAGGAGTGGACTTCAATCTCATGTACCTATTTGTAGGGAGAGCAATGCCTCTTGTCATCCAAAAAAAGTTGACATATGAGATCTCCGAGGTCTCCACTAGAGGTACTGAAGGAGTAAATACTGCCTTAAGTGCAGACCTCTGACAGTTATAAGCTGTAGATCACAATAGGTAACTCACACAGAAAATGCAATATAAAGTTTAAAATAAATAAGAGAAGAATGCCGAATCCCTACAGAAAGGTCTTAGCTTAAATACTTCTTCCAAAGTTAGTACTTGTATCATTTGTTCTCCTGAAACTAATATTTCGGGGTGCCTTACAGGCCTTTTTCATTGTCACCTCACCTGGGAGTCTGCCAGCCTGTGCAGATGATAGTGAAATGTCAGTTAGGATTGACTTGAGGAGAGGAGTGAAAATAGGGTAAGACATACCTTTCAGAATATAAATTGCTCTAATTGCCTCTTGGCAGATTCTCTGTAAACAGAAGTCTCTTTCCACTGGAAATAGAATTTTATTAAGAAATCACTTTTTTTTTTTGTTTTTAACTTAAAAAGAAATCTTATGTCTGTTTATCTTTTAGATAAGATGTGTGATCAGATAAGTGATGCTATTCTCGATGCTCATCTCAGTATTGATCCAGATGCCAAGGTTGCCTGTGGTAAGTAAAATACAGATAGAAAAACAGATTAATGAAGTACAACAAGTACTTCATGTTGGTATAACACCCTGTGATCCAAAATTCTTGCAATAGCTGGCTGGCAGTCAACACTTCCACAGTCAGTCAAGAGGCCAGCTCTGGCACACTGACTCAGAGGAGAAGGGAAGGCAGAAAAAAAGCTGCAAAAAAATTATCACGAAAAGAAAGAAATATGTAGTACTCCATTACAAATTAAAAATCATGAAATGTAAGAAATAGATCAGGAGAAGGCAATGGTATCAGGGAAAATTATGGTTGACAGGGCTAGTGATAATGAGCAGTCTAAGAAAATTAGGGAAAAAGAGAACTAAGGAAAGATATATGTCAAGATGCATTTCTTCATAGAGTGAGTAAAAGGTGTTAATAAATCTCAAAATCCAGAAGCCCTAAATAGATACTTACTGTGCCTTTACAGAAGCAGGGTGATGCCATTGGTTCACAGGAAGATAAGTCCACAGTTCATTTGAATGTGATTCTGATCAAAGTGGCTTGCCTTTCTGTTAGGACTACCCTGTATTCTACATGGATGTTGTCACTAGCAACATCACCTCTTCCATAGCCTAACAACGTATCATCAGATTGGAATGAGCTGGATTGCCAAGGGGGAATGGACACAGAAAGGAAATGTGTCTAAAGACTTCTCCGAATGCAGTCATTTTTTTCTTAGAACAAGCCATCAAGGTTATAGTTACAGCACAGAGGGCTAACTGCATCCCACAAATACAGTGATATAACATGACGCTTCATTTGAAAAATCTCATGTGATCCTTGATGCATAGATGTAAGCAGTGAGCAGATGGGGCAGGGAGAGTTTAGCATGTGTGTTAGACTTGATGAAGCATGTGTTTCAGTATTGCAGGCAGTTATGCTCCCAAAACTGCTGAAAACCTGGAGATAGTAACAGAGAAATGCTGCTAAAATGAAAAGGACTGAAAAATGTGTCATAAGAGATGTGAGAAACATTATCAGTTTGTCTTACCAAAAAAGAAGACTGAGATGTGACATGATTACATAGATAAATCCCTGGTTTCTGTAATCTGTTGGGGAAAAAAACATATCAAAACTGCTGACTGGAGTCAGAAAACTTGAGTATGACATTAAAGCATAAGTCTGGAAAGGTAAAGTGGTTGACCAGACAGAGATTTCTAAAGAAGTAATGGGCTGGAGAAGAGAAAACAGTTATGGCACTCAATACAGGGTTTACTGGGTGAAAATTAGAATTTCTGTTTAGTTGTTCAGGCCTTGCCTCAAAGTTGCACAAAAAAATCTCAAAGTGTTATGTACATACTAACTCACTATGACACTGTATTTTACAAAACTATGAAAGGAGATGTTGAAACTAGATTCTGCCTACTAACAGAAAAATGTATCTATGCTTCTCTGAGTTTTTTTGCTACTTGGGCTTTTAGGATAAACAATATTTGCATATGACATTTTGAAATATTACACTGGCACTACCTCATTTCAGCAGGACAGAGCTAGTCTCTTTTGTGCTGCCAACAAACTGGGTAGCAGTAAGTTCAAGCAAGACAATACTGGCTGCAGGTAGCATAAAGCAGAAGGCAGAATAATTGTTCTACTTTGTCTCTGATTAAGTGAGGCCAAATGCTTTCTTGAAAAAAGAGTCCTTCCCAGTGTGCCCAACAAATGAGAGTCAAGGGACAAAATTCACTAATTGTAAACCAAGACAGTACAAAAGGGAAGGTGGAAGTTTCTACCTACTAATGTGTGCAAAATATTTTTTGGGGAGACTTAAACATGTAAGAAATCACCCCCCAGTAAAGAGCCCAAAACCTTATATGGTCATTTTCTCTTGGGTAGAGCAGATGGGGGTGTTGCTTGGGCTTACTTATAAGTTGCAGCTATTGTGCAGCTCCTGAACTGTGTTTTCTTTTGGTTGAAATAAATTTCAGTCAGGATGGAAAGCAGTCAAGGTAGGAAGATGAATCTTTCTATCGTGATACTAAAAAAGGATCATCATGCTGTGAAGTCTTGCATCACCATCAAGCTTTTCTTGGCTGTAGTGGGCCTGGGAGAGTTTACAGGGACTGTGGGTTCTGACTGCAGCCCTATGGTTCCATCTCTCTAAGCCCCAGTGCCCCAACTTTCCATTATTCTAGAGAGTCTTCCTCTTTTTGTAATGACCACACTGGAAAAGCTGAGAGCCATTCTTCTTTGCCTCACAGCTGTAACATAGGGTCTCTTCCCCCAGCGCAGGATTCACAGCACCATACATGCCTTGCACACATAGGTGGCCTGTGAGGGTGTAGCAGATAGGAAGAGGGCTGCTGGTCAGTAGAGCAGGGACATAAGACTGAGTGTGAAAATAATGGCACCAGGATACCCTGTACTGTACAAGTATCACTACCTCAGGTTGATGTGCTGTATATATTTAGGGTTACTGTATTATTATGGACTCTTACTGGGCCCACAGTATAATTCGGAGACACCATGCCAGCTATGATGTAGCTTAGTAGTTCAGTGTAGACTAATTCCTCTTGCAGACAAACAGAGAAAACTTGTCCTGTGTTAAAGTCTCAACTGCTTGTCTGGATTATCTAAGCTAAGCTGCGAGTTAAAGCTAGCTTGATTATCTTTATGTGTTGCTGCAGTCCATAGTTGTGCAATTTTATAAAATATTCCTGCCTGGAATACTTAATCCTGAAATCAAATAAAATTATTCAAATAAGATGGTGACTGGATGATAAAAATGACAGTTGAAATTCAGTGTAGGGTAATGCAAGGGGGAAGGGAGCAATCTTATCCCTATATATAGAAAGTAAGGTTTACAGTTCACTACAAGCATTCAAAAGAGAGATTTTAGGGTTGTAATAGACACATGTTTCTGTGAACAGAGTCAGTGCTCAGTAGCAGTAAAAACCGAAGCTGACTTTTAGGGCTTGCTGGGAAAGGAATTTACATCATTAAGTCATGTAAATCCATGATTGCGTGTATTGAACACTGTGTGCAATCTCTTTCTTTCTCCATCCCCCAAAAAAACTATAGTAAGATTGTATGGCAAGAGTAACGAATACAATCATAACCATACAGTGTCTTTCAGTGAATAGCCTCGGCCTTCCCAGTCTGGAAAGGAGAAAATTGAATGGAATATGAAATAGACCTATACAGTTGTAGGTCATATTGATGTGGTGAATATTTTGTGATTGTTTGCTATACTTTTTAACATAAAAGAGAAAAATTTGGAGGCCAGCTGAATGCTTGAAACAAATAAAAAAAATAAAATATGAAATGATTCTTCACAAAATTTGTAATGAAGTTGCATAGCTCCAGTATCCTGTAGGTGCTAAAAGTTTTTGTCGTTGCCAAGGGCAACTGGGTGAATTACTGTAACAAAAATCTATCAAAGACTGGTAATGCCATCTGTTAATAAATGATGTCCGTTTAGCTTCAGGAAGACCCTGAGCTAAAATTGTTGGAGACCAGAAAAGAATTTGGAGAAACAGCCTATATTTGACCTGTTCTTATAGACATTTGCTGCTGGCCACTGTGGAGATAGGATAATGTAGTGGGCCTGGGTAAGATAGGGTAAAGATAGGGTAAGATGGACTTCCCCCCATGCAGGCATTCATGTCAGCTGAAGAGAACAATGGTTGCACACAGACCTACATGTATGCTAAGGCTTTACACTGAGTTTCCCCTTTGACTAATCCTTTGTTCATAGAACCATCTTCAGGATCTCCCTGTGTAGCTGTAAAATAGTAGCAGTAAAATTCTGAAGTTTCATCTTTTTTTCTGCAGAGTGTGTAGCAAAAACTGGAATGATTTTGCTTTGTGGAGAGATCACATCCCAGGCTATAGTAGATTACCAACAAATTGTAAGAGAGACCCTTAAGACAATAGGGTATGATGACTCTTCTAAAGGTGAGTGAGATTCTTCATGTGTTCGTTCTTGAGTCTGTTTTGCATGTGGCCAAAATAATGTTTTTATGGTCTTCTGGAAAATAAAATGAAATGTATCTCAAGGCCTAGGAGAAAAACGCACAGATGTTGATACGGATTTTTCAGTGCCTGGGACTGAAGGACCTATTTTAAGGTGGCATACTTATAAAAGACTTATTCTTGAAACTGCCAGGTACCTCTTACGTCTTTGATGCAGAATAAGTAGTGTTTGCACAAATGTCAGAAGGTGGTTACATCTGCAGGTTTTTACACTGAAAGCTTTAACACTTGTCCTTGGGATGCATAAGCCTTGGCACTTGAAGTTCACACCCAAGGGAATTGTTTATGTATTCTTAGTGTATTTCCCAAAGCAGCTTCCTTTCAGCAGCTGAACCTCTTACGTGATTATTCCCCTTTAGTCTTCCCTTTTTATGCATGATATATACGGCTTTTCTCTAATTCTGTTGAACCCTAGAACCTACTACAGGAAAAACTGAATACTAGTTTCTGGTAACATTTTCCATGCTTCTCTCCCAGCTTTATTACCTAAATGGTTTGAACCCTAGTCATCATAAGCAATGTAACAAGTTTTGGTGGGGAAGCTTGTAGGATTACACTTATCCTCTCAGTTTCAAGAGCTCAAGTTTGAACTAATACCACTAACTTGCCCACATCCTGAGACTGATATAAATGTGCTGATTGTCTGCTTCTATTAACAATGCAAAATGTAGAATAGGAAGCTTATACGCTTAGAGTTTTAAAAGTTTTAGCCAAGATAACTAGATAATCCCTAAAAGCTTCTCCAGCAATTTGTGAACTCTCAAGAATGTATGACCTAACTTTACAAAACTTCCTTCACTAGGACTGGACTATAAGACTTGCACAGTTTTAGTGGCCTTAGAACAACAGTGTAAAGAGATCAAGCATGCTGTCTCCCATGGCAAGAGTGATGATGACATTGGAGCAGGGGATCAGGTAATGGGACTTAATTCCAGGCACTTACTTAAATTTAGTTTATGCACAAGCAATTAGAATTTTGTTGGACCAGATCCCTTCCTTAAAAGCTATTGTACAAAGTGTAAGAATTAGCAGCTAAACACTGTGCATGCTCTTAATCACCAGAAGTGCTAAAAAATAACACAGCCTTCACTAATTTCAGTGAAAGTGGCTTTTCCCATATCCAATGCCCTTACTGGATAGAGCTACAATTAGGCTTTTCATCAGTTCATGTTAGTTTCTGGTCTTTCAAGTCCTTTGCGTAGCCTGGTTTTACTTTTTGGCATCAAATACTGTGTAATTTCAATTGTCATGTGTCAGGAGAAGACTGAGCAGCCTTTATAAGCTTTATGTCTTTGCAGTGGATTCTTATGGGTGCTTAAGGCAGAGTCATTCTTGGGAAGCAGACCCTGCTGTGGCTCTGATGATTGTGAATGCAGATACATAAATGTTACTGCAGGCCGGTTATATGTCAAAGTGTATTCACTCTGCATGTTACTGGTTTCTCTTTTTAGGCTTGGGTAGTTTTAAGGTCCTATGTGGCAAAGACAGGTGCAGAAATGGAGAGAGAACACGGAAACAAGTGGCTTATTCACTTATTCCTTATTTTTCAATGCAGGGTTTGATGTTTGGCTATGCCACGGATGAAACTGAGGAATGTATGCCCTTAACAGTCCTCCTGGCACACAGACTGACTGCACGCATAAAGGCTCTGGAACGGAACGGAACATGGCCCTGGGTTAGACCAGATGGGAAAACACAGGTTTGTAACATAGATGTATAAACTATAAGAGTGAGAAACAACAGAAATAATTTACTCTGTATGCTACTAAATTAGAAATCATGTTTGTCAAAAATGGTGCTGTCATTTTCATGTTCCAAGGTGGTGTGAGTTTCATAAGGTACATTTGTATGTAGCACACATGGTTAGTTTAAACTGTTCTATCAGTGTCTTAGCAGGTTTCTTCAAAATAACACTTGTATCTTGCTTCCTTTCCCCTGGAGGTTAAGAAGATTAACAAATTACTGACAATCAGCTGGGTTTTTTTCTGAATAAATGTTAGCATTCCAGAAGCATGGATTCGGATATCGCTATGGTTTCTCCGTTAAAACAGAGCTGTTCTTGATTCAAACCTCATGTATACTATATGTAATCAGTGGTCTGGGCCACTGACAGCTGTGTTGCAGCCCTGAGTGGATGAATCACTGAGCTTACTGTAAGTGTGATGCACTTTGGCAGTATCAAAGGCAATAAGTTCCTTGTATTTCAGGCTGTGAAACCTGCAGGAGAGGAAAGGAAAGGAAAACCCAGGACAGCAAGTTGTTTTATTCTTAATTTCTGTTGATTAGTGGGGTTGAACTGCATTGAGTTACACTGCTGCTGTTGTTGTAGTACAACATGGATTGTGTCCCCACCTTTTGTCAGCAGTGCATACAAGTGAATAAACTGATTCCTTTATGATATATCTATCCAAGCATTTTTGAAGGGTGGGAAAGTAAAGAGGTCTTCTCAGTCTGTAAGAAAACCTATACTGGAGCAATGCCAGTATGTATTTGCATGTACACAAAAGCCATGCAATAGAATCATAGAATGGTTTAGGTTGGAAGGGACCTTGAAGATCATCGAGTTCCAACTCCCACAGGCAGGGACACGTCCCACTAGACCAGGTTGCCCAAGGCCACATACAGCCTGGCCTTAAACACCTCCAGGGATAGGGCCTCAACAACTTCTCTGGGCAGCCTGTTCCAGTGCCTCACCACCCTCAAAGTGAAAAAATTCTTCTTAATTTAAACCTGCCCTCTTCCAGTTTAAAGCCATTCCCCCTCATCTTGTCACTACATGCCCTTGTAAAAAGTCCTTCCCCAGCTCTTCTGCAGGCCCCCTTTAGGTACTGGAAGGCCGCAATAAGGTCTCCCTGGAGCCTTCTCTTCTCCAGGCTGAACAACCTCAACTCTCTCAGCCTGTCCTCACAAGAGAGGTAGCAAAGAATACAGCCTATGATATAATGATCTACTGTTGCTCATTTTATGAGCAGGGTTCTCCAAAAGATATTTTGACTTTACTTCAGTGATTCTCTGTTTGAAGTTCTGTTGATGTGCCAAACCATGAATGATTTTAGTATCTGCTGGTGAAATCTTAGGCTTCTGTAGCTTTCTTGTTGTTATTTTGTTTCTCTATGGTGCTACATGTAATGTCCTTTAGTTAACTCTTTTGGTGGTAGTACCTCAGTACTTTCTGTATTTATTTTTTTTTCTTACAGTGAAATTAAGCATCAGCAACTATCCATCATTTTTCATCCCATTTCCCTTCATCTGTTTATTTTTTTCTGCAGAAAATAACTGTATGGTTCACTTCCAGTTTTCAAACTAGTGGTCTTGGCCTTGAGTGTTCACTGTCTTTTTTTTTCCTCTCCAGGTCACAATGGAATACAAAGAGAGTAATGGTGCAGTGGAGCCCATGCGAGTGCACACACTTGTGATTTCAGTACATCATGCCCCAGACATACCTCTAAAACAAATACAGAAGGAACTAATGGAGAAAGTTGTTAAAGAAGTCATTCCAGAGAAGTATCTTGATGAGGGGACAATTTATCATCTCCTTCCAAGTGAAAAGTTTGTAGAAGGTGGTCCTAAGGTAGGGTACTTGGAAAGAGGACAGCCTACATAGACTTGGATTCTACTTTGCCACGTGCTTCTAAATGTTCTCTTGAACAAAAGTGCAATGAACTGGTATACCTTTAACCAAGAAAGTCTATACATTTTTAAGAAGACTTCAGTCATTTCTACTGGAGTTTTCCTACTGGATAGCTGGCATCTAAACTGAAGCTGTACATGCTTGGACAGCCAAATGTACAGATTCTTGGGTCTTTGTCTTGCTTCTAGAAAGTATTTTAAATGCCCAAACCCCAGCCCTTAAGTTATATGCTAAAATGCCTGACTGAAAGTATCTCTTCACTTTCACAGTAAAAATCAAAATCAGAAATAACAACAGATCTGATCTTCTATATTCAAATTATTCAGAAAGCTGAATAAATTTCAAAGGAGATCTTAATTTATCAAGTTTCAATAGTGATTAGAATTTGACACATGTTCTGCTTTCCAGGTGTTGGTAGTAGGTACACAGATGACTGTTGTGAAATTGTAAAACTTTTATTAGACAAAACTGTCTGGTTTTGTATAAGGAGTAACATGAAGGATTAAAACTACAAGGTGTGCGTATGATCACACTGGGATGCTGTAGGGATACTGCTTTCACTGAGAGAAGAATGTCAGCTTTCCTCCTGCATTACTTATTTCTGGATTTAAAATTAGTGGATTAATGCAGTTTATTCTCTTTCAGGATGGAGTTTCTCAATGCTCTGGAGCTCATTTATCAGTTTGCAGTCACCAGCTTTGCTAATCTGACAGAAAGGCAGTAATTCTCTGCTGGTGGAACAAGTTGGATCAGCTCATCAAGTTGTAGGAGGCAGACAAAAGTCCATGCAAGAGGGTGGGACTACATTATCAGGGGCACTGGTGGGCAGGAAGAAGAAAGAAGAGTAGTACCAAGTGGTCCTTGTGCCAATACTGAAGCATTAGGGCGAACTCAGCTAGAATTTCTCAATACTTTTGTGCTGGCAGCACTGGGGTGCAGCTTGGTGAAGCCCCTGCTTCCTCTTTAGTTTGTGTTTATATGTGAAGCTTGTTAACATTTCAGGTCATATGTGATCTGTTTTTGAGGAAGGCTTTTTTCTGTCTAAGTTCTTGGCCTCCATTGAGTGTTACTGAGTGAAGTCATCGGCCAGTGATCAAGAGATAGTATTTCATGATTGCTGATCTGAAGGGAGCACACTTTTTGTGATGTTTACAGTTGTGCCACATTCTTATCAATCTTCAAAAGTGACTGCAGCCCAGACAGTTTAGTACATCTCTGAAAAATACTGCAGTCATGTAGATCTCATTCGTTAAACAGCTGCATGTGAAGATGAACACTGCGAACAATGAGTCATGTCTGTGGCAAATACAAAACAAAGCTGTAGTAAATAACCTATTATGGATTGAATAAACAATTGTGTCTCATGAATGTATTCATTTGTTTGCCCTGCAGAGTGATGCTGGACTGACTGGCAGGAAGATCATTGTTGACACTTATGGAGGCTGGGGAGCCCATGGTGGAGGTGCATTCTCTGGAAAAGATCCCTCCAAAGTTGATCGTTCTGCAGCATATGCAGCTCGCTGGATTGCAAAATCTCTGGTGAAAGCTGGTCTCTGTAAAAGAGTATTAATCCAGGTAAGAGCAACTGTGAAAGTAATACACCATTACAGAAATTCTATCTCGTGTGTGGTCACCCTCTCAGAATACATACTACCATCACAGCCCCCCTCCAGTTTCGGAAAAGTATTTCTTATATTAGAATGGGGCTTCGGGAAGTTCCTCCTGGGGATGTGTGATTAAGGAGCCCTGTGAGGGAAGCCAAAGACACAGCCTGGGATGGTCCTGAAACAAGGAGTGTGTTCTCAGTAGTAGTCTTTCTCCAACTCTTTTGCAATCCCTGGTCTAGATAATAGTTTGCTTCATCCTTCCTTTTACTTCCAGCAACTCTGTGATCCTCTGCACGCACATGGATGCCCAGCACTCCAACCTGGGCTGCACAGCACATTACAGACAGTTGTGTTAGTGTCTAGATGTAGTTGTGCGATCTGCTGTACTATATGGTCATATTAGTTGTAACTTAAACTGTTTTAAGCTGTATTTGAAATTACCTTAAGTTACCACAAGTTCTCTGTGTGTTCCTAGTATACTACTATGGTGTGAGGTGTGACCAAAAGCAAAATTCAGTTCTTTTAAGAGTTTAAGATAAGAACAACTTCCACTAGTCTTATATGCTTGGAAGAAATGTGCTTCCTTCCTTGTGCATGAATTTTTGGGACCATTAAGTCTAAGAAGTCAAAAGAGGTGTTTTATTGACCCCTAAGCAGTTTCACCATTAAACATGAACCCAATGTAAATGCTAAACAATTGAGGTTTATCTAGGCAGTTTGCAATACTAGTTTATACACATACTTATTCTGAGAAGCTGCTATGTAATAACTTTATCTCAGTACAACAAATTACTACAGTAAAAAGTAGCAGTGATCTGGCCGATGTTTTGCTGCACACAGAGGTGTGTTTAAAACCTTTTACTTTCTCCATGGATCAGAGGAAAGGCCCACTGGATGTGGTTGTCATCAATGACATAGTGTCCAGACACCCCAATTAGGAACAAGGCCCCTTGCTTTAGATGTTGTACACATGTTTGATAGCTGATTAAACTTAAAGTTCGGAGTTAGTCAATGAAAGGGGAGGCTTGGAATAAGCCAAGCACAAATAGTGATGGTTAGTAAATTGTTGATACTTTTTTTTCTGAGGGGACAGAAGACAAACTTCTGATTTCTTGGTATGCACATTTTGAATGGCATTTTTGAACACATATATCACTGTCTTAATTCTTGAGTTTGGTGGGAATGTTGTTATTCCAGTAATTCCCAGAGACCCTCCTTAAATACCTGAGCCTGACTCTAGACAAGCAAGATGGATTTTGTTCACAGCAAACTATGGAGATGTCAGATATTAGCGATGAAGGTAAAATGGAAGGAGAGAGGAGGATGGAAGAGGAGAAAAGCAAATGTCCTGTGAAGTTACAGGAGGCTGGATTAAAGATTAATGAAAGGAAAAATGTATCAAGTGCAAATGCAAAAGTGTTTTCAGCCCATTAGGGTCTGTGTAACTCTAACACCTTGCCAGCCTCCACTGAGGCTGACAGTTTTGCTGTCTCTGCTATGGGTATTGTTTCCATGCTAACCACCTTTTCATACTGTAAGGACAAAATGGATAATGGAGGGAACTGCAGACTATTTGGCTGTATATGATCACAAATACCATGTAGGCTTTATTTAGTGTGATATAGAATTGTCAGCTTATTGGTTAATGAAAAAGAGGCTTAACATGATCTCAAAATTAGCTATAGTCATGACTAGGGTAGTTTCTCACTAAAATCAATTCCTGGTTACTAAGAAGTATATAGATAGAACTGAGCCATTTACTTCTTGAAATTTGTAGAAAGCAGACACAATGAGGAAGACCAGGGAAAGCCACAGAATCATTTGTGTTGCTTAGTGACATTCAAGCAAAACATGTTTTCATTCAAATACATCATGATGGAAGAAAATGAAGTGTATATTAGCCGATACTGCAGTAGGACTGTATTTTGGAATGGACTGAATGACAAAAGCAGATACATTTCAGGAGAACCTGTCAGTGCTGTGCTGTGCAGTGCTGTGGTGAAAAGAAGCTAATGTGATTTGTGGATGCCAGAAAGAAGCTATAGAGCTCCTCTGTCCTCCTCTGAATGAAGTGAAATTACAGGGAATACTTCCTGGGTTACTTTGTCTACTTCTGATAGATATGTTTTTAAAAGTACATTGAAATATTGGATGAAGTTCCAGGGAGTGCATGGAAACAACTCACTCTGGGAAAAAAAGTCTGTGAGTTCTTTAGGAACATGGAGCTTTTCCTCATCTTTTCTCTGCCTCAGGGAAAAAAAAAAATAGAGAAATATTTGCGGATCTTAGAGTCTCCAGTCTCAAAGGCATGAAATCCTTGTGTCTAGCTGAGGCTGAAGGATGCAGAATGGCAGTATCTGAGGATGATTAGAAAATACCTCTTTTGCTTTTAAGTAATGTCACTTAGGTCTGATATTTGACCAGGCTGAGCATTCTCTGAGCAAAACAGATAATTTTCTAACATACAAGACAAATAGCAAAAACACATCTCCTAACTTCCTTAATGCAGAAAAGATGTGCATAAGATCTTCACCTGATACATAAGATAAGCCCTTCCTTTCTCTTAAGCAAAAAGTAGGAAGGATTGTTTTAACTGAGCATGGATTGTATGCATGTGTTCTACAGCTATCATATGCTATCGGTCTGAGTCATCCTCTTGCGATATCAGTGTTTCATTACGGAACATCAGACAGATCTGAAGAAGAACTGCTTGAAATTGTGCAGAAAAACTTTGATCTACGCCTTGGAGCTATTATAAGGTTTGTGTGCTATTACTATTTATTGAAGGGAATAATATTTTTAATTCTCTTTTTAACAGTTTAATGTTAAAATTTCTGGCTCCTAACCTCATGAAAGCCACCTTCATTATAAATCTGTAATTGCTGTCATTTCTGCTCTTCCCTCACCCATGCACTCAGTATAATGTACAAGGCCCAATTAATAACTCTGGCTACAAAATGTACTGAATAAGTAAGAGTGGTCTAAATTATACCATGTTATATCCTGCAGTAACCCTGGTAGTGTGCCACATTGCAGTTCATTAGCCAGATGGTAGTGTGCTTAGTAAAGTGGAATTAAAATTTAACACTAGATGTAGTTAGGATTTCCAGTCTGTTTACAGGGTGTCTAAGGCTCCCAGTCCCTGCCTTATCTGGAAGGCACTGGAAATATTTGCTCTTTCTGAAAGAAGTACTAGGGTAAGTATGATCCCCCTGTGTTTGATCTTTAGGTGGCAACAACTTGTGAGACAGCTGCCACAAGATGGAAAGGTTCTGGTGCCCTCACTTGACAAGCAATCCCATTGAAATGAGCGGGACGTTATGTACTGTAATTTGCCCTTGCTCATGCACAGAAGCTGTGTCACCCTGCCACAACAGTATGGTGTTTGTTGTTGCTGTTCAGGGGTTATTGGCCATTTGCCCAGAAGAGAAATGAACACTCTTAAGTGACTAGCTTCTTCATGAGGTCTAAGTATAACCTACCTTCTGCATCAGAAAGACTGAACACTGAGAGCCTGTCTTCAGTTGTCATGCAGTCTTGTGCAGCCTGTTTGAAGTCAACTAAGCTTAATTAAAAAGGAATCCAGGTTTCTTAAATGGTCCCTTAAGATTTGGTAAGCCAAATCTTGCATGCATTTAAAAAACAGAACAAGAATAAAAGTCCTGCCATGAGATGAGCTGTCTTGAAGTGAAAATCCTGTTGTGATCAGAAGTGTCATTGGGGCTACCATGCAGTCAGAAAAGACAAGAAAATGCAAACCTACTTACATTGCCTCCTGCAGCCAACCCATCTATGTTCCTTTATGGAATACTTCTGGACCTGAAAAAGCAGGTGTCCTGAAAAAACTTAATCTTTTCACTTAAAGAAGCATGGGAATTACCCTTTTCTTTGAGAGAAGAAAGGACTGGAGGAGAGAAGATCAGCACCTGTCCTTATCAGCAGTTACCCACCTACATTCCAGGGAGCTGTAATCTGACCCTAGCATTTTTCCTTCTTTTTCTCCCTTTTGTGACTAACATATTATTCTTTTAGGAGGTGGAGCTTCATGCCTATTTGTGGTAAAGCTTCCTCAGACCCAATGCTAGAGGCTCATCTTCTCAGTCCTGAAGAACTTTCAAATCTCTTGGCTGATTTTCACCAAACTTGACAGGCTGGACTTCTTAAAAATTTCATGAAATATGAAACTAATGGTGAACAGCACTACCTCTTCCCTATTTTAAGGGAGCAGACACAGTGTGAGTTCACCCCTTATTAAACTCTGTGAAATTGACACGGGAGCTTAAGCCTGAGATAGACACCAAGTTCCATGCAGAAGAACCACTTTGTCACTCTGAGCAATGCAGGTTTTAAAACCTCTGTTCTAAAATGCTAGAACATGCATGTTTTAGCATTTTATCACATTATTTGACGAAAATGCTTTTAATGGTTCACATCTCTTTTAAATCCAGAGCTATTAATATCATTCTAGTCTTTGCATTCCAGAAGAATCTTGAGCGTATTTGGCTCCGAGGAAACAAATATCAAACTGTTAGTGAATATGAAGTCTCTTTTTTTCCTTAAAAAAGGAAAGACATTTCTGACAGGCTATATCAACATTTTGCCAGTGTGGCCAGCCTTTTGCACTGCTTTTCAGAATGCTTCCTGAATATATGTGCTGAGACTAGAGCTGACATATTTTTAATAGTCTGAGATAATGCAAAGCGTTATGGCAACTTCTGTAGGTAGATAATGTTTTCCAAGTGTTATCAGTTCACAAATATAATCAAAACTCTCCTTTGCGTTTGTCATTATGGCAGTTCATTGCCATCAGTAATTGGTGTGGTTCCTAGACACTCCTTGATTTGGCGTGCACAGAAACGCTGCTTTTCTAAAATACGTTACCATAGCCCTGGAAGTCGTGAAGGCAGTAAGAAGGCAAGAAAGCAGGCAAAAACACGAGCATTGTTTAGTGAATATTTTCTTGTTAAATGTTACCTCATGATTTTTAAAATCCTGTAAATGGTACTGGCTATCCATTTTAATCAACTATGCACCAAAGTACTTCAATATATCTTACTTTTTGTTTAGTCAGCACTCACATTTTGATGGTTTTTGTATTAGCATCAAGCACAAATGACTAGTAGCAATTGGAGCATGTGATCATGTTGAACAAAATATTACTTGAACCAAGACTTAGCTGCTGTACATCATAAATCACCCCATAAGTGCGAGAATGTGTAATCTCTTCACCATCTGAAACGTACTCCTTATCCTGTTAGTATTTGTGGTTCTTTCCTTACTTTGCCATTCCTCCACCAATTTTCTCTCCACGAGGTTATGATGTGAATCATCTATTTTAAGTGTGCTTTCAGAGACAATTAAACAACGTATACCAAAAAGAAGAAAGCCCAAGTAGAAGAAAATGTTTCAGACTTTTCGTGAAATGAAAAGAAAGTTCTGTGTAGATACCTGTAGCTAACCATTTAGTGCAGCTGCAATCCTATATTAGGCAGGCTAAAACGCCATAATCACGACTTGCACCTTCATTATTCATCTAGTCATAATCAGTGTTAAGCTCTATTCTAAATAGTGACTTTGTGCATCCATATAAGCAGTTAAACCTCCACAGTTACTCAGTCTGCTCAATCTTTGGCTGCTTCTTTTGAGATCATCATTGTCTTTCTGGCACAGTAGCATTAGAAAATATTCTATATTACACTTGCAATAACAGAAAACACATTAATGCTTGCACAAGTATAGCTGAACTTCATTCCAATTGTAATGCTTCTTCATTGTAATGCTTATAAAGCCTAACTGCATACTTAACAGCATCTCTGATACATTTGAAGAAAGCTGACTGTTTCTAGTCACTTAAAAACTGAGAAACCACCAGCTTGCTACTTTTCCTGCTGTAAATCTGGATGATTGGGCAAGGAAACAACACCTAGGTTTTATTGCCTTTCTTCCAGGGGTAATACTGATTATCCCTCTGATGTGTGTAAGTTGTAATATACATTGGAGTGGAGTTAAGTGTAAGACTTTCTTTTTCTTTTCTTTTCATTAAGGGAGCTGGATTTGAAGAGGCCAATCTATCAAAAAACAGCATGCTATGGGCACTTTGGGAGAGAAGAATTTACGTGGGAAATACCCAAAAAGCTTGTGTATTAAGCTTTTCAAAATGTTTCATGTAATTGACAGGTGGTTTAATAATTAGATGAAGTTTCAAGCTGTTCAATGAAAGACTGTATCTACTCTTTTTTAAATGGTGTTCTGTACTTAATAGATTTACTGAAAATTATTTGTATTTACTTTCTAATTTTCATAGTGGCCATACACTTTATATGCATGCTGCTCTATCTAACCTAGTCTTCAGCTTTGTCTTTGGTAACGTGAACAATTTAGGCCTTTGGCTGCAATCAGATACTAAGCACACAGATGGTTGTGGAAATTGAAGTCATCCCTGTTCTGCCAGGGAAGCCCACTACTGCTTACCCATTTAACTTTGTACTGAAGTGGATGAAGTTGGTGACGTAACTACCAACAGCTCCCTGTGAGAGGCAAGCAGTAATAGCACAAATTGCCATAATTCTTTGGGCTAGGACTTCCACGACTACAGCTTTAGTTATGGTCCTTATAGTCCAAGCAAATTAGTAAAAACACCCATTTTGGAACATTGTTCATTGTAACCCTAAAAATACTTAGCTATGACGTAGTGTTATCTGCTTGCATTTAACATTACAGTTTTGTAGGCTGTCCTGGTTCTGGCAGGGATGGGGTTAATTTTCCCAAGGAGCCAGCAGGGGATACAGGTATTCCATGCCATGTGATCCATGCCCAGGTTTGGTGGGGGGGAGCTAGCTGGGGGAGGGGGCAGGAAGTCGCGGCTTGGAGGGTCCGGGTCAGGTCGGGGAGCGGCGGCATTGTAATTGGGTTCGTGTATTCCTTTGCTGGTGTTATCGTTATTGTTTTCTCTTGCTTTTGCTGTTCTGTTAAACTGCTTTTATCTCAGCCGACGAGTGTCTGCCTTATTCCTTCTGATTCTTCCGCCGGCTGTGGGAGTTGCGCGAACGGCCGCGTGGTTCTTTGTTCCCGGCTGGGGCCAAACCACGACATAGGCGTATCTGTGAAAACTGGTGAACTCCTACGTTGTAATTCTCTTACTTATTTATAGTTATTCCTTCTCAAACTGAAATTATCCATGTCTGCATGAATTGGAATTAGTTGTATAAAGTTTAATTAAGTTTCATTGGGCCATTTCTGCAACACAAAAAAAAATTTGTAAAAAAAACTTGGAGGACATTACCTTATTTTGACTTCTCTGGGTGAAAGCACAAAATGGAGAGAGAGAATTCAAAATCATTTAGCTTTACTTCAAGGGCTAGAGAGGATGAAAAGGCTTGTATACAGAAAGTAGCAATTCTGGCAAGCAAATTTATCATCAAATTGTGAACTAAGGCAGAATGTTGGAATGCTGTAACTGCTGATACTTAAAACCAGGGAATTTTAAGAGACAATTAAACAATATGGCTACCTGTCTCCAATAAGGGAAAACTATAGGCTTCAGTGGTAAGTCTAATCAAACGCAAGTAGTTGAATATAACATCGGTCTCGAGCAAGTTTTAAAAAGCTGTTTCCTTTCACGTAAAGACTGATTGATCCACTGCTCCTTTGATAGACCAGAGCTGAGGTGAGATAACCGTACAGCTGTACCTGTGCTTTACCCACCCTGGTACAGTTAACCCGATCTAGCACAGCAGTACAACAGTCAGTCTTGTGACCTCCAAAAAAAGCTTTTTTTTCTTCCATTAGAAAACCGAATTTGTTCCTGGAATAAAAACTACCATTCTTTTGTAGGCTTTTTTTTCTATTTTTTATTTAATGACAAGTTTTCCTTTTTATCGCAGGACCCTGGACCCTGTCTTTGCCTAAAACCAATCCAGTTTAGTATGCGTATGGCCATGTAGGCATAAACCACGTCATTAACCTCTATTAATTTTTTTTTCAAATTGGTATTGTCCAGGAAAGAGGAATGTAGCTTGCTAAAAATTTTGAAATGTCAGGATAACTTCCACTTTTAGTAATACAGGTGTACAATGTTTAAATGCTAAGGGATTGCAGAGATCACTATGCAGTAAACTGACTATAATAAACTGACTTATGGAACTCTCTTGAAAGAAAGGTCAGTAAATGCTCATATAGTCTCAATTTTACAGCTGTCTCAATTACAGTAATATCAATTTTACTGTCATGATACTTCACCCTTCCAAAGTTGAATAATGCTTTGGCAAGAAGCTGTGATGCTTTGTTTGTCACAGGCAAAGACCATTTTGACAAAGAAAGTCTCTTATTAAATTTAACAAGGAAATGATTTGTTCAATTGAGGTGTCTCTGTTAGACAGCTGGAGCCTACAGGAGGCAAATTGGACCATGGTGTGTTTCAGACAATAAGAACACATTTCTGCAACACTTCTATCACCTTGCTCTCTGGCTTCCTATAAATAAACTTTGAGATCAAAGTTACAGACCTGTTCTTCAAGGAGTTGGATAGTCTCTGTCTCCAGACTACAAGCCTTTCTTTCCTCTTGTTGATTTGTGTTTCAAAGTAGCCAGGAGTACCAGCTGCAGAAGAAATCCCTAATCACAGATTGGAACAGGTATGGTATACATCCAATGTCCAGAAAACCTGTCTAAAAATTTTAGGAAGTTTTCTAATAACTAGTGAATTAATTTTACTCACATAGGGTAGCTAATTTGTCCTATATAAAATACAGCAAAAGAGATATGCCTTGTTTGAAACAAGCAAACAGAGAAAAGCTACCTCTGCTAAATTTGTAGTGTCTAATCCGAAGTCAGAGCCAAAACTATTGCTCCACAAAATCATTGAAGTATTTTTTTCTAAATGATTGGCATGTTTTCTTATTATCATTCTAGAAATGAATCACTTAAACTGGAACCTCAAAAATAAAAAGGGGTGTCCAAATCAGACATAAGCATTAAGATGGCAGTTATTGCTGAAAGTTTAGCTAAATTATAATGTAGCCTACTTACAGGGATCAATCAGAATATTTTTATTTCCAAATGTTGCAACTATTGCTTTAATAAACCTGTTATTTTAATATCAAATGAACAGGCTCTTCTTTGAAATATCTGGTTACAATATGTTATAAAAATCTCCTGAAATATAGTGGCTTATAATCTGTGTAAGAAAAAAATTATAATTGCATATCAAAAGAAGAACACAATAGTTTATGCATTGTGTTTTGCGACTTCAGCCATATCAGGCTGTATGGATATTCAGCTAATACAAAAAAGATACATGAATGAAAAATCTGTATTGCAGAAAATTACTTGGGTGTACCATGCACCATAACATGTAGAGGTTTTAGCAGCTGTTCTGGAAAAAAAAAAAATTTCAAATAGTGAATTTGGATACACACTTACAAAAACTGATGATTCTTGCTGGATTGCGTAAATATTTCAAAAGGGCATAGTTTAACTCAAACCTAGACTAGCCAATTAGGGAAGAAAATGAATGAAATGGAAGTACCAGCTCGGCTCTGAAAGTGCCTTTCCTATCTTTCTGGTCTCAGAAGAGATGAAGGGTCTCTGCATGTAAAATGAAGACATTAAGCTAAGAAAGGTCAAACCTTTTCCTCATAAAAGATCCTGTTCCTTTTCTAGTGGCCTTGTATGAATGAGTCTTTGAAGAGGAATACGCAGATGAGTTATAGGACCAGAGACAATGAGCAGAACAGTATGGTGTAGCAAACCTAACTAGCAGTGTTTTTTCGTCCAAAATAATTCCAGCCTTTGCCTGCAAAGAATTACTGGGAAAGTCAGAAGCCAAAATGGGATTGAAAGTAGGATGCTCCTGCTGTGAATACAAAGTCTGCTGTTCTCAAAGTGGGGACAGTGATATGCCTTAAAACGGCAAAAGAGGTTTTCTTATAGGGAAAATTGAAAGAGAAAATAGCAGTTAACCTCTGGGATAGAAGGAAATTGTCCATATAAGCTGACTTTGATTATTTTTTTTATTTCTTTTTAATAAGAGATAAAAAAACATGGGATCTCTGTACAAATCTACCAGCCTCTAAGGCCATACTTCTTGACTTGTAAGGCATTACAGAACAGTGAGGGAAGCACAAGATGCCATGCCCCTGTAATTTACACAGTTGCATGACGAACAGCAAGTTCTTAGTTTATGGAAGTTGATTGAGAAATACAACTTTAAAATATTTCACTCCTCATCTGTGCAGGAGAAAGAAAGCATGGCCACCTGAAATCCTACTGGTATTTGAGGATCTCAAAGTGATGGCTGCTGGCAGGGAGCAAACTGCAGTAGCAAAGAGACATGACTTTCTGAAGGAGAATCCTGGCTGGCAGCATTCTTTCTGAAACAAACGTCTTTCAGAAAGCCTTGCTGTTGGTGATCTGCTATCCCAGGGCATACAGCCTTATGCAGCAGATAGCCCTTACGACTTAGTGATCTGCCAGTGCAAACAGATGGAAAAGTCAGCCTTACACTTCAACACAGAGGTTAATGCTCTACAAGGATTATAGCCAATATCAATATTCATGTACCTCCCGTGCTGTGCCACATCGGAAGGGCAACACCACAACATTCTCCTGCGCACTCAGGAGCAGGCGGGGGGTGCAAGAGGGCGGGGGAACCGTGAACGGGTTACAGCCACACTCTGTGGGAAAAGTGCACCTGCTGCCCAAGTGCCATCTCTGTAGGCCTGGGGCATCGACACAAGGAACGTCACTTCTTGGTGACTGCCAAACTGCTGAGTGTTAACAGCGGGGAAAAAACTGCTGCCTAGTGAAGGACATCCCTTCTCCCGTCCCGTGCTCTCCCCTCCGACCACGGCCCAGCCGCCCCGGCCCGCTCCCTCGCAGCACGCCTTCTCCACCGATCGCCTCCCGCAGGCCGCGGCGTCAGTCCATCGCAACACGCCTCGGCAGGCAGCGGGGGGGGGCCTGGGCC